TTCAAATTCTTGGGCTCAGGCGATTCTCCTGCCTCAGCCTCCTGAGTAGCTGGGACTACAAGCATGCACCACCATGCCTGGCTAGTTTTTTCTCTATATATTTTTAGTTGGGCAATTAATTTTTTTCCATTTTTAGTAAAGACAGGGTCTCACTCTCTAGCTCTTGCTCAGGCTGGTTTCAAACTCCTGACCTTGAGCGGTCCGTCACCTTGGCCTCCCAGAGTGCTAGGATTACAGGCATGAGCCACACACCTGGCCCAGACCTCTTTCTTATCTTCTGATTTTTTTTACTTCTCTTAATTTTTAAAAAATATAGTACCTTTCCCCACATTTAAAACAGTGATGCTTTAGCCTTAACTACACAATAACTAACACTTTATGTATCTATAGAATTTTTTTGTATTTTATCCATTGTCTTACTTGACCCTCCTCACAACCTTGTGGTACAGGTGTGGCAATGTTGTCCTGGCCTCCCCAGAGTGCTAAGATTACAGGCGAGGGTCACTGAGAATTTCTCTTAAAATAGTTGGCTGAGAATTTTTTTAAGTTGATAAAATAACTGGTTTTAAACGTTTTGTTTTCCTACTGTGTTGACATCATCTTTACAACTTTGTAATTAATTAATTAATTTATTTATTTTGAGGCAGAGTCTCATTCTTGTTGCCCTGACTAGAGTGCCATGGCATCAGCCTAGCTCACAGCAACCTCAAACTCCTGGGCTCAAGCAACCTGCTGCCTCAGCCTCCCGAGTAGCTGGGACTACAGTCGTGCACCACCATGCCCGGCTAATTTTTTTAAATATATATTTTTAGTTGGCCAATTAATTTCTTTCTATTTTTTCAGTAGAGATGGGGTCCACTCTTGCTCTGGCTGGTCTTGAACTCCTGAGCTCAAACGACCAGCCTGCCTCAGCCTCCTAGAGTGCTAGGATTATAGGCGTGAGCCACCGCACCCAGCTTGTATTTATTTTTTGAGGACAAATCACTTCTTTTACCGGGGCCTGAGTTTCTTTATCTCTAATTGAGATACTTTGATAAATTGATAAGATGAATTCTCCAAGACTTTTTAAAAATTTAAATTCTGGGATTTTAATTAGGATATTCTATTTCTTTTTTTTTTTTTTTCCTTTTAATGAAGGGGTGGGGATTTGTGAGGGGGGTGCTCAGTTGCCTTGTATTTTTTTATTGATTGAGACAAAGTGTCACTCAATTGCCCTGGGTAGAGTGCAGTGATGTCTTTGTAGCTCACTGTCAGCTCCAACTCCTGGGCTGTGAGCAATCCTTCTGCTTCAGCCTCCTGGTAGCTGGGACTAAGGCGCACACTGCAATGCCCAGCCGGGTTTTGTTGTTTTGTGTGTTTCTTTTTCTTTTTCTTCTTTTTCTTTTCTCTTTGGTAGAGATGGGGTCTCAATGTTGCTTAGGCTGGTCTCAAACTCCTGAGCTCAAGTGATCCTCCCACCTCAGCCTCCCAGAGAGCTAGGATTACAGGAGTGAGCCACCATACCTGCCCCAGGGTATTCTATTTCTTTACATAGCAGTTGTTTCCAGTTTATTTTCTTGATGTGACATTGCCAAAAGTTGTTGTCCTTTAACTATTTTAATAATTCATTTTTGTTTGCTATTTTAGGGGAAAATATTTACTTCTTTGGAGCCAGAACATGACCTTAATGATGTTTGTCTCTACCCCAACTCAGGTATGCATGCATTCCGTACTGAATGATCACAAATATAGGCTATACTTTTTTGGGTTTTAAGTTTATTTTATTTAAGATAGAGTTTGGCTTAGTCAGGACAATTCTTGGATATTTTACTTACTTGGAAGAATTAAGAGCAGGAAGTGGTGTGGATGATTCAGAAAATGGCACTCTTAGTGACTCAGTCAGTCCTCAGCCCACCCAGCTATTAGTAGAAACTGGTAACAATATATAGGTATGTGGCAGACAAAATGCTATTTTAGTGTGCTCTTTTATGTGGTTAGTAATAATGTGTGGAAATTAAGGATAGGGATTTGGAGAAGGCTGGAATTGCCTGATGGCACACGGTTGGCTCATGAAGCCATGGGTTTTGGTATATTCTGTGGTACATGCTGTTCAGCAAATGACATGATAGATTTCAGAATTTAACAATACATTCAAAGCAAATCTGTGACGAATTTCAAGGTATGAGATAAGAATGAAAACAGTTCCTACACTCGAGCAGTGTACACTGAGGACAGCCACACATAGACCATTTTGATAGAAGGATACAAGGCAAAGCCTGAGGAGTCCTATCATGTATGTACAAACAGCAGTGTGGCAACACGTTGGAGTGGTTTCCCCCCGAGCACCCGGAGGATGGTGTCAAGAGGACTGACTTGCATCGTGCATGGAGTGCTGAGTGAGATTTGGTTAAATGGAGTTGGTGTCTGAGGTGATCCACAAGAGAGAACAGTGTCAGGCTACCAGAAATGATGGGCATGTGGGACTTGTTTGGGGATGGGGAGACCCTCATGTTGCTGAGCTGCGGTGGCTCTGAGGAGGCTGGCTGGGAGGCAGAGAGTGGCAGCTGGGGGAGGTCTGGGCATGATGTGCCGGCTCCTCTGGGCTCTGTTCGTGGTCAGAGAGGACATGTCTAGACTGTGTTTTCCAGCAGGCGGATTTATCTACTGTGTAAAGGCTAGATTGGTTTTGAACTAAAATGACTAGGAGCTGATTGATATTCTGAGTTGACATGGGAGCACAAGCAAGAGAGCATATCTGGAAGAAAGATTATTTTTTTCCTAACATTTGAGTATTAGGAGGTGATGGCACGGTGGCATTGTCCAGCAGAGGGTCTCACCTGGCTGCCCATCAGAATCACCTGGGCAGCTTTTAAAGTACAGATCCCTTGCCCTCATCCCAGGTGTACCAACTCAGAGTTTCTGTGGAGAGGGCCCAGAAGTGTGTATTTTAATATGCTTCTCAAAGGATTCCCATGTAGCAAGCCCTGAACTGACCAACATACTTGCACTTGGGAGCCCTGTCTGGTATACCATAGAAATGTGGTCTTGAGATAAGCAGGTGTGCAGATAGAACGTTTTGAGACATGTAAACAAAGATTATCCCATAAACAGTGGAGTGAATGAGATTACCAATGGGGAAGGTGTGGAGTAAGACAAGAAATAAGCAGGAGCTGGTTCCTTTTGGGGGAGAAAGGTGGGGAGGAGCTGAGAAACCCCATGGGAATGGACAGGCCAACAGTGAAAGGACCCACAGTTTTTGAAGTACAGGAGAGATTCAGTGGGCATTGCTCAGCAAGTATTAAGTGTTACAGAAGTTGGGGCAGGAACACACTAAGATTTGTTGAATGCCGCTATGTGATCAATCTGGATGATGGATGCTGTAATATAAATATATCATTTAATCTTTTTTTTTAACTCTCTGTAGTCAGTGGCCCACAATTTTTTTCTTTTTTCTTTCTCTCTGTTTTCTTCCTTAACTTTTTTTTTTTTTCTTTTTTTGAGATAGTGTCTTGCTCTGTTGCCTGAGCTAGAGTGCAGTGGTGTCATCATAACTCACTGCAGCCTCAAACTCCTGGGCTCAAGAGATTCTTCTGCCCCAGTCTCCTTAGTAGCTGAGACTACAGGCACATACCACCACTCCTGGCTAATTTTTCTATTTGTGTAGAGGCAGGGTCTTGCTCTTGCTGAGGCTGGTCTCAAACTCCTAACCTCAAGTGATCCTCCTGCCTCAGCCTCCCAAAGTGCTAGGATAACAGTCATGAACCTGGGTGCCCAGCCTCTCTTACCTCTTGAGAGGTCAGAAAAACTGGATAATTTGTCCAGGGTGGGCGACCCAGCTGTGTGGCAGAGCTGTGGTTGGAATCCAGCCTTCGTGACTCAGGAGCCCTTGCTCGTTCTAGTCACATTTTACAAGAAAGATGAGAAGATGTGGACCTTGTAATTCACATTTCTCCTGTGATAGTTGAGAGGATTTTATTGTAATCATGGGGGTGAGGTCAAATTCTGTTGAGTTCATGAGTGAATTATAGATTGGATCCTAGTTGAGGTATTGAGATGGCCTACAGTGGGGTCTGTGCTAAGTAGGAAGGTGAGTGAAGCAGTTAGAGTTGAGGTAGGAGTGAAGGAAAAGGGTGCAGAGGTGGGGAAGTACTTTCTTGCCTGGTGCTGTCCAATTTGATGCCACTAGCCACACGTGGCCATTGAGGTGTAGTGTAAGTATAAGATACACATTGTATTTCAAAGACATTATTAATGTGAAGTAGATCATTACCAATTTTTTTATATCAATTACATGTTGAAATGAAAATACTTTGGACGTACTGGGCTAACAAAATATATTAAAATTAATTTTACCTGTTTCTTTTTATTTTTTTAATGTGGCTACTAAAATATTTTAAACTACATATGTGGCTCACATGGTATTTTCAGTGGATAGTACTGGAGAATCTGTAGTGGTTTAGGATACTGGTAAGGTACAAGGTGTTCATAGTGCTTGGGCCTGACTCAGTGGAATGGGGGTTACTGAGGATGTTAGGCTGCCTTAGTCTTCATTGTAACCAAGAATGAAGATACCCGAAGAGACACCTTCTGAAGCAGGTGCCAATCTGTTGGCCCTGTAGACTGCTGTTCATATCAGGCTGCACTGTCTACATAGCCTTCCCCATGAGGCAGGGGTAGAGGCTGGCCTCCTCTGTGGCCAGCTTGACATTTTTGACCTTTTAAGGTTAATTCTTGTGCATCCCCTCAGCCCCAACCTTTAATGGGTTTAAAGATCTATTAGTCTACAAGGGGTATGACTACTTGGCAAAGATGCCTTTTTCTGAGAAATACCCAGGCTCATCTCAAAATGTCAAGGAATCCATTTTTAAAATTCCACCAGGGATGATGGTTGTTGTAATCACAAGGATGAGGGAGAAGGAGGCTAATGTTAGCAGGGAAAGGGGTTGACCTAGGTGACTACTGAAGAAGAGACTTAAAATTAAAATGGACTTGAAAGGGTGCTGGTAATTTTACCCACATACCTCTGCAATACGATTTTTCTCCCTGGGTTGTCGTCTTCTTCCTCCTTTTTTTTGTTTTTTTGTTTTTGTTTTTTTTTTGAACTGGGGTCCCACTATGATGTTGCCCAGGCTGGAGTGCAGGGGCTATTCACAGGGATGGTCATAGCGCAACTCCTGTGCCTCAGTGATCCTCTCACCTAAGCCCCCTGAGTAGCTGGGACTTATGGGTGTACACCACCATGCCTGGCTCTTAAAATTAAACCTTATTTTGTTTATCTTTTTTAAGGACAAGGTCTCGCTTTGTCACTGAAGCTGGAGTGCAGTGACATAATAATAGCTCACTGTCACTTTATACTCCTTGGCTCAAGCAATCCTTTTGACCCAGACTCCCAAGAACCTAGGACTGCAGGCACATGCCACCATGTCTGGCTAATTTTTTAACTTGTTTGTAGAGATGAGATCTCCCTATGTTGTTCAGGCTGGTCTTGAACTCCTGGCCTCAAGTGACCCTCCTGCCTCTGCTTCCCAAAGTGCTGGAATTACAGGTGTGAGTCACCATGCCTGACAATATTAAATTTTAACTGATTTCATTGTCTAATGGTAAAAATAATGCATGTATTTTAATGAAAATTAAAAGTGTATCTTTCTGGGAAAAATATCTAGAACATTTATTTAATGAAGATTAATTTGATTTTTTAATTTTTTTTGAGAAAGGATCCTGCTCTGTCGCCTAGGATAGAGTATGGTGGCATCATCATTGCTCACTGAAACCTCAAACTCCTCTTGCCTCAGCCTTCCTATTAGTTCAAACAACAGGTCTGCACCACCATGCCCGGCTAACTTCCAAAATTTCTTTAGAGATGTAATCTTACTATATTGCTTAGGCTAGTCTTGAACTCCTGGGCTCAAGTGATCCGCCCACCTCAGCCTTCCAAAGTGCTTGAATTACAGGGGTGAGCCACTGTGCCCAACAATTAATTATGTTTATATCATTTTAATTGTATGGGTGTTTATAGTATAATAATTTTGATAATTAATGTATACTTAATAAGGTAATATTTTTGAAGAAATATTTGACGATTTGAACAGAAAACATTCTTAATGAGCAGCATTTTAAAATTCTATATCAGTTGTTGGCAGGCTGACCTGTGGGCCAAATCCAGCCCACCACGTGGTTTTCTATAGCCTGTGAGGTAAGAATGAATTACAAATTTAAAATAGTTGGGGAAAAAAATCAAAAGAATATTTTGTGACACATGGAATTATATGAAATTCAAAGTTCATTGTCTAAAAAAATAAAAATAAAAACAAAAGTTCATTGTCTTTTAGCATAAAGTTCTATGTGAACACAGCCACGCTTGTTCATTTATGCATTGTCCATATGGCTTTTGCAGCCTGACAGCAGAGATGAATAGTTGTAGCAGAGAGCAGATGGCCTGCAAAGCCTAAAATGTTTACTACCTGGCCCTTTATGGAGATAGTTTGCTGACCTGGTCTGTGTTCCTGATACCATAAACAAGAAAGGTCACTTTATCCCCAATATTTAACGTTGCAAAAGTAGTAGGGTGAGTATCTTTCTATCCTCTACTTAGATTCAATGTTTTTTAATCTTTAGCCACACTTGCTCTATTTATCTTTGCACATATACGATTGTTTTGGTTTCTTTGGGGAATCACTTGAAAGCCAGCTGTAGACATGGTAGCTCGTCTCCTGCACCGAGTGTGGCACTTGTAAAAAGAAAGACATTCTTCTCTTAACCAAAGACCCTTATCGCACCTAATAAAAATTGCAACCTTTTCCTAATATTTTGTACCCCATCTATTTTCAGATTTACCCAATTGTCCCCAAAAGGCCTTTTTTTTAGCCTGTTTTTTTGAACAAGGGTATAATTAAGGCTGTTATATTTAGCTGTTTTATGTCTTTAGTTTCTTTCAATCCAAAGTAGTTCCCCTATCTTTTTTTTTTCCTTCTCCACAAGATTCATTTTTCTAAGGTCAGGCCAGTAGTCTTGTAGAATGTCACTCATCCTGGATCTATGTGATTGTTTCTCATGGTGGTGTTTAACTTGTTCCTCCACATTATATTTTTCCTAAAATAGAAGTTAAGTCTAAAGTCTTTTTTTTTTTTTTTTATCTCATCTCTTTGCATCCTAATTTGTCCTAAGGTCTAAGGTCTTAATTTGGTCTAGGTTTAAATATTTCGGACAAGAATAATGTGTCAGCTGCTGGGTTCTCAGATCTCATCACATCACATCATCCTAGTATTGGTGAGGATAAAGTTGATCACTTTATTAGGGTGTTGTCTTCATTATAAAGTACAGTTTTCTGAAAAATAACAATTTTAAGAGCAATGTTTTAGACAGAGGAATGACTGCTACTATTAAATAACTTAGAAGAGGTTTTTTTGACTCTAGGTGCTATCTTTTCTATCTCTTTAAAAATATATATTTTTATTGTGGAAACAATAATAAACACCAATACTAAAGGAAATTTAAAGGACAAAACCTTCCATAAGGCCACAATCTATCTCTTTACCATAACTATTATCATTTTTATTAAAGAAGATAGACAAGTAATTTATCTCATAAGATAGCAAGCATAGTAAGACAAGTAGTATCTCGCTGCTTCTTTGTGGCTCAGATATGAGTGTGATGCCATCATGTGCTCTTTTCCTTGCTTTCCCACACCTTTTTCCTTCAACTCTCTTCTTTATGTTTTGTGCTTAATCATTATGGGCTTAATCATATTTTAGAAAAGCTGAAACCTTCTACTTTCTTTTTCTTCTCACTTACTCATTTCGTAGTAATTAAAGTGTAATCATGATTTTTGTTTTGGAATGTTTTTGTAATACTAAGACTGCTGCTCTGAATATTGAGAAATGGTCCCGCCTTTCTGGCTTATTTCCCGGCTCTGCTCCCGTTGCTCATCCAGCTGCCTGTATAGCTAGCGTCTGTACCTCGAGCAGCTGCTCCTTGCAGGTCGGGGCACCTGCAGAGCTGGCGTGACTCTATGACTCGTGTGCATCAGAGTCACGGCACGGGGAGCTTGTAAAGCTTACGTATGTCTGAGTCCCACTCCAGACATGTGGGATCAGGATTAGTGGGTTCAGAACCATTGATAGAAAAGAAGGTGAGCATTGGGCTTGAGAAAGACCTCATTCAGGCTTAATGAGGGTAATTATCCAGCCTCAGCTTTCTCACCTACCTTGTCAGCTGTTAGAGATTGCCTGTGCTGTGCAGTGTGAAGCAGCCTTCTCTATCAGTATCCTCCAAATACACGGAAAACAACTGTTGGAGTCATCTGTGAATGTCCTTGGTGCCTCTCATAGTAAGCTCATGTGGCCCACACGTCTCTCATAAGTTCAACATAGAGCAGGGTGTCCCTGCCAGTCCCCTCTGGCACAGTTCTGTGAATGCAGCCTGTCTCCTGAGCTGTTCAAGACACTGACTGATGCTATATGTTTTAGTGCTTCTCAAATGTGTCTGGTGAAGGACCAGGATTTGGTTTTGTTTTTTTTTTCTTTTTTTTAAATTTCTGATCCATTGCAGATTGACACTTTTGTAAAATACCATAAAAATGAATTGCTAGGAAAATGATCACATATTTAGAAGTCACTGTGGTGTCGAATTGCTATCTAGGTCTCTAAAATGCTTCCTTTCAATTTGTTGCACTTATTTCCTAGCCTGGTTTTGCAGACTGGCCCTGGGAACACACCTTTGAGTAGTGCTGCTGCAAAGCACTGATTTTGTATTGTGAGCTTCATTGAGTCCTTTAGCCCCTGAAGCACACGCAGACAAGTATTGATAGGTGCATGTTTCTGGGGAAAGTACTCTTATCAAATTTTCCCACTGTATTATTATACTACATAGCACACTGTATTCTGTACATTGTACAGTACTGTTTTATATTGAAGGCATGTTCTTTTGACTCTAGGTGCTATCTTTTCGATCTCTTTCAAAATTTATATTTTTATTGTGAAAATAATAAGCACCAATATTAAAGGAAATATAAAGGACAAAACCTTCCATAAGGCCACAATCTATCTCTTTACAAGAACTATTACTATTTTTATTAGGGAAATTTTTACTCTATTAATCCTGCATTCATATGTTTTAAATTGTCCTCACACTATACATATGATTGTCTTTTGCCTTTAAGTTTGACATTATATTAAAATTATTTTTAATGCTGCTATATGGTATTTATACTGACCCTTTTTAGTGGTTTATTATTTGATCGTGCAGGAAGTCTTCTAATTTTATCTTTGTTATTGGAGTCTTAGAGTCGTCCCATGTTACACGGGCTTTGGAGTCAGTACACTGTCAGCTACTCTCCTTACTAGCTGTGTGGTGACCTTGAGCAAATGAGTTAACTTTCTGAGGCTGTAAAGTACCTGGCGCAGTGCTCACACTTTTGTTCTTCTCTTGCCTATATTTCTGCTGAACTAAGTCTTTCTTTCACTGGTTTGAGTTTTCTGTTTCTACTTGTTAGAAATTTCTGATACTCATTGGGCTTTGTGAAGTTGTTTATTTTTCTCATTTTTAATTGCTTTCAGCCCTAACCCTCCCCACTTTAGTATGGTAGCAGATCAGCTTGTATCACTGGCCGGCCAAGTGAGGTCCTACTCCATTGTAGGAAACAATCGAGCTGCGTCCAGTTTGAATTCTTTTGTGTAATTAGATTAGAGCCTTTTCTATGGTTTCTTTGGTAGGTGTGGTTGTGGTTCATTGTTGAATGTTCAGTGTTCAGGGTTGAACCAGTGGAGACAGGCTTAGGAGATGACTTCAGTAACCTTCTTTTTGGTTGTAACATGTTGCTTCTATCCCCAAAACTTCTTCCTTAATGATGTCTGAAAGCTCTTGGAGAAAGTTGGGTGGTGCAGTTAGTGGGGGCCTGGGAGGCACAATCAGTAGATGTCATTTCCTCCCATGTAGACCTCAGTGAACATTCTGTGCCCAGAGCCAGGGAGAGTGCTGAGAGGAAAGGTTTTATGGGCTACAAGCTATGAAAAATAGCTCCGATTTTTGTTTTGATTTAATTTAGATAATGTATTCTTGCTTTTTTAAAAAGGCTTCATGAAGTACTTTTAGATATTTTTATGGGGCGGGAGTGTATGTGTATTTTTGGTGACTCGTTGGTCCGAGTTCAGGGCTAGCTCACACTTTTGAGTTACGGGCAAGGCGTGGTTTGGGTGAGATATCATTGAATCCCTGCTTTCTGCTTAAGCAGTAATTGACTTTGTTCACTCAGCATTTCA